TCTCTCTCTCTCTCTCTCTCTCTGTGTGTGTGTGTGTGTGTGTGTGTGTGTGTGTGTGTGTGTCTTTGTATATATATGTATATATGTGTGTGTGTGCGTGTGCCTGTGTGTGTGTATGCGTGCATGTTTGTGTTCATGTGTGTGTGTGCGAGTGTATTTGTGTGTGTTTGCTTGTGTGCGTGTGTGTATGTGTGTGTGTGTGCGTGTGTGCATGTGTGTGTGTGCATGTCACAGCGTGTGCACGTGTGTGTGTGGGGGGGGTTGGGGGCGTCTGTCTTTTTTTCTCCTTTTTATGTTTTTATTTACATATAAGGTTAAAAAAACAAATGAAAAACATGGGGTCATAGGGGTCCGAAAGACCTACAAGCCTCCATTTTTTATTATTTTTTGTGTTTATTGTTTGCCCCTAAAAAATCCCTGTGAAAAAAAAAACAAAACCCACCCATTTCATATTATGTTTTTTGTTTTCTTCCTTTCTTTCATGTTTTGTTTTTTTTAAATATAGCAAATCTTCAAAAAATAAAATAAGAAACATAGGGGTGTAGATCTCAAAAATATCTACAACCGTTTTTTTTTTTTTTTTTTTGCTTATGCAAGGAAAATGAACCGTAACGAGATGACAATATTCAGATTGCACAATCACATTGAAAGCCAAATCGTAACAGTGTTCAAGAAGCAGCATTGCACCAATATTACACCAATGGAGAATCGTAGCACTAATAGTCAATGTCAATGAGAGCTTGCACCAACATACATATCCAGTCTCTATCTCCCTACCTGGCGCTCGGCGCCCAGCCTACTCCCTACACAGCTACTACTAGCCTACGAATTGCCTTCGTCGCCCTGACCCGTAGACCGGCCTACCTTCTTCTTTCCGGTCCCCCTACCCTTTTCTTTAATGGGTGCCACGACTCCCCCATCCGAAGCCTCGCTGGCCCCATCGTGCTCTGTCTCTTCCCCAAGGTGTGGGAAGTCGTCATTTTTTGTCACCTGACCATCATGGTCGACGAACATTAGTTGACCTTTCTTCTTCCAGTCCTGGGGTAGTCTCTTCTTCCTACCATCTCCCTGACTCCGATGCGCGGACCCCATTTTTGCCTCTATATCTAAGGCCTTCTTGCTGAAAGAGGCGAAGTTGTGCTGTTCGACATAGGCCTCGTCTACCAGCTTTCTCCTTACCTCTTAAGTTAGGCATCTACGGTAATCCGTGAGTACCTGCTGGTCATAGCACACACCAGGTACCACGAGCAGACGTTCTACGGTGTCCGTTAGCTCACGAACATTCTTGTACCTTCTGGTACAAAGACTGTTGATTGCATCACTGGCCTTTTGAGCCCCTTGCGGGTCATGCCACCTGCTATACACGGACCATACAAACTCGTCTAATGTCTGGGTTTGGACCCAGGCATCAAAGTTCTGAGTGTAGCCCTGCTGCTGCACTAGGCCATTCAACCAGCGAGCTGCTGACCCCTCTAGAAAGGAGGCAGCCACTACAACTTCCTGCTCTGGCCTGGTAAGTTTGTGCCTCACATAGGTAGGCACCGTCCTTACCCAGGTGTCCTCGTCCTTCTTCCTGTCGCCGGAGAAGGGCTTAGGACTCAGCAAGGGTATTTTGGGCATCCACTGCATAGGCTGCTTTGGCCCAGGGGATTGCTGCAGTGGCTGCATAGCCACCGAAACTGGTTGCTGCACACTAACCTGGGCCTGGCTTGACAGTGGGACTGTAGTAACCAATGTCGTTGATGGTACGGCTGAGACTCTGCTAACCGGACCACTAGTTGCTACACAACCACCTGGAGGGGGCATGCCAAACATAGGCGAGAATGAAGGCCCTACCGGCAGCAGCGTCACTGATGGACCCGCACCCGGAGGGGGAGTTACAGCAAACTCAGGTTGCCTCATCAATGGATAAGGAGCCTGTAATGCAGCCAGAATTCGTTTTTGGCCTGCCACTATTTCAGCCAACACCTCCTGCTGAACTACCTACGTCTCCGCCACACACAAGAGCGAGTTACACAGGGCTCGTATCGCAGGGTCAAGTGTTGACTCATCTAGTGCTTCAAATTTGCTTAACTCCTGCAATCTACTACCCAGTCTAGCTTTCCTCATTATAACTCTCCTTCTCCTCTCTGTTGCTTCATCCAACTGCCGCTGCAACTCATCCTGAAGTTCTGCTTGGAGGATCTCATAATCCTCCGGCGTGAGTTGAGTCAGTTGGCTGACTTGCACGCCAGCACTCTGGCTAATGGAAACCCAAGAACCACTCTGACTAACTCCTGACGAAGTGGCCTGTGAAGAGGCCTGCGACATGGTAGAGGAAGTAGCCATGGTCGTACCGATGCTAGCTGAAATCCTAGACCTGTCACTATCCTCAACGACTCTCACTCTCCTTGCCGATGTTCTCTCTCTAGCCTCTCTCCGCAGTCTCCTCTCGTCTCTCGGACCTAACTCTAGAAATGTCGAAGGTCGACTGAGAGCACTACTACGAGTAGTCCTACGATCATCCACTAACAACTCCTCACTAGTGGTTGCATCACTCATGAGCTACAATGTATGTGATCTAAATTAGAATTCACACTGAATCCTACCTTAGCATGACGCACAACCGATTATGATACACAACTAACTTCGGTCGGTTTGGACAGAAACAATTAGGTGGTTAGGTCTCAACCAATGTCAAATCCTCCAGGGAATGTTAAATCTATTTTTAGATTACTCTGATACAGATGGCAATGCAGCAAAGAATACTACTCTATCTGCAGTTGTTTGTCAGTTGTCAGTCAAGTCCGTAACAACTAAATAATCAAAAATAGAAATAATGTTCCCTGCAGAGATATATGTTGAATGGCTGTTTATCTAATTAATGCTCAGCGAAAAGTTGTCGAAATCCCCCCTCTCCCTGTGTCCTTCTCGTGTTGTCTCTTTGTGTCGACGCCCTGAGCATCTGGCTGAGCATCGTGTCTAAAGGTGTGCAATCCGGGCCACCCCTGTGCCCCAAGTCAACGTCGAACCTGCCAGCCCCTGCACATTATTTATCCTCGCATGCAACGAGCCTTATACCCAGTTTGATCTGGCTGATCAGGAGGCATTTAAGGAGATCCCCCGTAACTCCTCAGGAATTATTTAACGTCGCAGACAGGACGACGATCACAGCCACAATCAACACCGAGTCCCCGCCGGAAATATTTATAGACGGTCTGGTAAACGTCTTTTCAAAGGGCTGGCATGCCCTGCATGACCTCTATTGCGCAGCAGCAGAACCAAGGACTTGTGGCAAAGCATGCGTGTACTAGTCCCAGCGGGTTGGCATGGTGACCGTGACCCGTGTGCTTCGTTCAGGGCCCTTCAGAGGCATGCTGCCCAGAAAGAATAAAACTCTCAATGTTGAGTGCTAGCGACACCTCACATTGAGAGGACTCCCAAGACAAGGCTCACTTCCTCACAGTAAGAAGCAATGAAGAGGGTAGATGAGGAAGGAAGCAACATACCTCATAATGATGCCCCCAAACACAGATTTCTCACCGGCAACCTGATGTGCATTTATGATGACCGGTCTTTGCCTCGACACAACCCACAACAGAATGCAGTTCCACCTCGGCTTAAATGCCACATCAGCGAGCTCTCATCATCCAGCATATACCGCTAATCTCACCACACAGCTTCCTGGTGCGCCCACATGACCCTGGGCCGCCTTACATTCAAATCACTGCCCCACACCTCATGCGAAGCACCGAACAACTAATGCGAAGAACCAATGAGCGCAGTTAGAACCAGCTCCGATACCAAATTGCAAGGAAAATGAACAGAAACGAGATGACAATATTCAAATTGCACAATCACATTGAAAGCCAAATCGTAACACAGTGTTCAGGAAGAAGCATTGCACCAATATTACACCAATGGAAATCGTAGCACTGATAGTCAATTTCAATGAGAGTTTGCTCTCGCCACCGCCAACATACATATCCAATCTCTATCTCCCTACCTGGCGCTCGGCG